GTCTTTTCCAACCGAGCGATTCTGTGATAATCCGGCAAACTGCCTTGGCAATTATCCCTTAAGAGGTGCCAGTCACACATCAGCTCCTTTCAGTGACTGAATATTTCTCTGATAAAATTACCAGTGCAGCGGAAAAATGCTTTTGAAATACACAGATGAGAACTATTTTTCCAAGTATCTGTAGTTTACTGTATAAAAAAGTATAAAAGTGTGGTCTGCCAGCATACCTCTGAAAAAAAAAAAACCACACCAAAAAAAACCCCAAAATCCCAAAAAAACCCAAACCAAAAACCAACCAACAAAAACAAAATCACAAAAAGTCACCCCCCCAAAAAAACAAACAAAAAATCCCTCTAAAAAAAACAACCAAACAAAAACCAAAGATCTCCATCACTCCAACAAGGACTCTGAAAACAATGCAAAAACCGACAGCACACATTTGTAATTTAATTAACGCATTAAGTATGACTTTTGTAAAATTAAAAAGATGAACTTGAAAAGGTTAAAGAGCTCTAAAACTTTAATTCTATCCTATAGTAGTAGCAAGCACTAATCAAACAGTTATGACTGATAGATATAATAACTGGGAATATTAATCTAGATTAAAGACACCAATTTATTATTTCATAGCACCATTAAGGTGCTTTCATTTTTTGCTATAACTAGAATTACTTTTTTTTTCCTTCTGTGTACAGCATCACAAGAAGAGAAAAATTTTTGTACATGGATGATCCCAGTAGTTTTCTTACTGCTTTATACTGAATGATTCTGTGACATGACTCATTTTAAACCTGCCTGCTCAAAAGCAAATTCTACAAGCTGTCATGCACAACACTGAAACAACAAGGGGTTTTGTTGTTTGGTTTGTTGGTTTTTTTTATTAAAAAGTCACAAATTATTTAGATAAAAAAAGAGATACCAATTATTTAGAAAAAGTAGGTATTGATTCAGCAGTTTATTTAGTTTCAGGTATTTAACTTACTTGACAACGTCGGCATTCTTGCTCAGAACAACGCAAGAACATCCATTTGGCTGATCTTGGAAAAAGCTCAAGTATTTGTGTATGGCATCAATTAAGATTTTTTAAATGGTATTTATTTTTAAAAACACAGCATTCTACTGAGAAGTTTTATCAAGATCTCCATCTTTCCATTGCACATTATTCCTTCAGACATGACACACACATGCTATATACTGTGAGACTTGGGAACAACTATGCTGGGCTTCTCAACAGCACTTGCATCTCTTGTGGGAGTAATGACTTAGATGGCATTTAAATAACTTTTCTGATCCTTTAGTATTCAAAGCAGAGGGACATTTCCTGCTCACATCACTATTTTTAACTCTACCAAAGCAACCAACTAAGCATTATTCATAAAGATTACTTTTTACAAACAAGATGAATATTTACCTGCAAATATGTTCCACAACTGAGTGTAATTTTAAAATAATAGCACATTCTTGGGACATCATGTATACCAACCACAATGACAACAGAATCGCGCACTCTGCTGATGTAGCACATCAGTTACTCAATTGCAAAACACAACTAATTCTGATAGATGTTGTTACAGGGTTGTAGAAGTACACTCACTATCATAGAGGTAAACACAACTGTGACTCGGTCAAGGTCTGCGCACCATAATAAAGTGGTTGAGAGCAGGAATAGTAAAGAGGAAAAAAACTGCACTGAGGTATCTGAAGACAGACCATCTAAGCTAAAAAAAACCCAAAAACCCAAAACTAACAACTTTCCTTCCAACAGTTGATTAGCTCTTTAGGGTTTTTTTTTTATATATATATTTTTAAAAGACTGATATTTTTTTCTATTTAAAATTAGAGCCTTTTTCCAGACCAGTTAGAAGAGGTATCAAGAGAGGAACTCAAGCAAAAGACAAAAGTAGTAACTGCATAATGTCCTAAACACTCTTGTTACGGTTATTGAGCAACAACCATGCTCTTATTATGCAAGCTGAGCGCCACCAGGTTGCAGAAGCCACGTTAAATTTAAACAGAACTCCCCACCAGCATCAACTTAGAAAACTAAGTACACAGCTCCTCAACCGGCTGATGCAAGCTTCAGAGCTGATTTAACACACACTACTGCTACCATCATTAACACAGTGGCAGCTTTGCATACAACAATTTTATCCTGTATACGACCATTCTGATAGCTCATTTTACATCAGCTAAAAGGATTCTACTGTATTACTACTCTTGAAAATCACCGAGGACCTTGCCCAGCACAGCAGCCTCTCCCAAGTGGAGCTCTAAGCATCCACTACTACCAGAAGCAGCCAGCACAGGACCTTAGACTCACTAAATCCCATCACTGTAACAAACACGGGTGAAAAAGCAGCAGCAACAGCAGCTTGGGCAGCACATTCCCACTGCTTCCTCCTTTCCCAACTTCAGGAGCTCACAGAACTGGATTTCAGTCAGATGGAGCAAGAGGAAGCACCCCCTGGCAATTATAAATACAGCTCTCCACAGGAGCAGACATGGCTGAACACTTCCCATCTGACCAGTTGTCAGCCTCAGACCGCATTTTGAGCCACAGCTTGACAGCTTTGCACTGTTTTAGCTTGCAAAGCTTCTTCCAGCACAAGCACAGGCTGGAGGTTGCCCTAGTCAACACATGGTCCGTGCATGCTCCTGTAACACTATGTGCCTAGGTCAGTCACTCAGCAGGGGCTTGGAGTGGAGCTGTGAAGTAAGAACTTTAACTATGACCTCCACTTGGAAACCATCTCTCAGCTGTGCGCTACAAGCCCTGCAAAATAAAGGTCCAGCCACTGCTTGGCTCTCATCTCTGAGCCGCTAAACCACCAGTAGACAAGAACAGAGTACAAAGCATCTAGATGTTAAAAGTTCATCTGCCCCTAAAAAAAAAAAAAAAGCAACAAAACAACCAAACTCTGGCACATGCATTAGTCACACTGCTTATGTCATGCTTACATTTTGTGCCTTTTGCACTATGTCCTCTAAGAATAAACAAACAAAAGTAAACTCCTTCAGTCAACATAATGTGCTCAATTCTAGTTCTACTTGCATTTTATTAATTTCCTAGGTGGTTACCTACCGGAAACTGTGAATGCCTTGAAGCTCTTGCTGTAACACCTCCTGTGTTGTTGCTATTAAGTCCAAAGCTCCGACAAACTCAGAAGTGGATAGCAGCAACTGTACTGTGGGCTGTGTTTGGTGTACAGTAGCCATTAACTTCAGTTTATTGTAAGCTTTCATACAGTTATTTCTGGTGAGTGACAGTCTTAAAACTCGAAGCAATCCTTCACACATTACTTTATCAATTTTGGAGATCTTCTCTCTAAGTAATTTTACAGCCTGGGAAGTTTTCCTGAGGTAGTCCTGCAACTCATGCTGAGAGGTCATTGCATGAAAAAATGCTTCTGAGCGCAGAGAAATCTGATGAGCAATATTGACTTCCACAATGTCCAGATAATGGCTCAGCTACAAAGAGGAAGGAGAAGGAAAAATGAACAGTGTTGTTATGACTTGGCAAGCTTATCAGCGTGGAAATATAATAAGACAAACAGCCTGAAAGTATATCACAAAGAAATTTTGCTAATAAAAATTAAAACTCTTTGTCAGACTAGCAAGCAAATAACTACCTATTATAGTTTGATCATTTGTTTTTAAATGAGCTCAAAACCACTTTGGGAAGGCTGATTTGATGCCTCTCCTGTTTGAAAATTGCAAGGTAGAAAAGCAAATAATTTTAAAATACCCAAGCTTCTGTAGCACATGGTTGCAGGCTAGCATTGTTAGAATACAGCCATTAACCAGGAGAGAGGTCTGGATACCAGCTTGCAAGAACAGTGTACACATGCAAATACGCTACGTTTTTTGAGTCATTGAAGCTGCTAAAGATCCAGCCTGACTATACTTGATGACATGGTTTTGGAATGACTCTTCATTTAAAAGGCTGTAGCACCTTTGTAGAAAAATCCTCAGAATATCTCTGTCTGCAATTCTTTTTTTGCCAACCAGCTGGACTTCTTAGTAAGTATATTTCAAGTATGCTGGCACTGTGGGATTCCCAGAGACAAAGTATGCCTACATGTTTAGAACCTGAAACTCAAATTCTCTAAGTCAAACAGTTACCAGACCACCAGGTTGTCCTGATTATTTGAGCTGTAAAAGCTCTGTGTTCTGGCTTATGCTGAATATGCAAACTCAAAGGACTGAAGCATTAGGATGCTCATCTGAATGCTAATACTCAGATGACCTGGTTTCTAAGAGATGCCAAGCACTCAAACCTCATGCTGAATTTCAAAAGGCCCATCCAGAGATGGAAAGAAAATTAGCTGGAGAACATTTCCTTCTTACAGTTATTTTCACCCTGCATGTATTTAACACTGGGGATTTATACAATACGCAAACCATCTTTTTTGCAATACATTTAATCAAAGACATCTTCCATCAAACAGCTGTGACACACCTAGCTCAAAGGAAAAGTTGAGACAGACTGTGACACAGGGATCAGAGAAAGGATTATTATGATAATTTATGTGATTGTACCAAGCAGAAGCTCCAGGTCTCTTCACTATGCTAAGTGAGGTAGAACAAACAGAACAAAATGCCTCAAAGAGCTTACAGTTCCAATGTAAGGTAAGACATGGATGGAGATAAGGAGGAAAGAAAAAAAAAAGTCGGGAAAATTGTTCAAGTAGATAGCAGCAGTCCAAAACCACTAAAAGCCTAGGTACGTGTGCTTAAGGCAGACTTTTCCAAATCCTGTTGAAAAAATAATGCCTGGAGCTAAGCACAATTATGACAGCAGGGTGCCTATTGACACATGGTAAGTGTAAACTCCTGCAGTTCAGAGCCTTTAAAAAGGAAAACAAAAATTTTGGGCCCATTTCAGTAACATGAAGCAGTGTAATTGTTTATCAGGCATGTGGCTTTGGAGGCAGCAGAACTGTTTTATATTCTTTAGGTATTTGTATCACTTTTTCAAACAAGTGGGGCTCACAGGTCATGGCTCCACTGCAGAGTGCTCGGGGTCTCCTTCGCTCAAAGTCCATGTTGAGTGTCCATCCTGCTGCTGCCAGGCTTATTTTGCAAGTTTAAAGAATATCCCAGACACTGCTTTTCATCATCAGACAGCAACTGCCACAAGAAACTCTAAAGAAGTATTCCTCCAACTTTAGATGTGGAGGACAACCCAATGAAGGATCAAGTTAAACTCCAGCAGAGTCTGTCTCTTCCTCCTGACCTGGATGGAGAGCAGGAAGACTGACTCCTGGAAATTTGGAAATATCTTCCAGAAGATCTCGTGACTTTTTTTTCTTAAGGAACTTCACTATTATTTATCCCCCTAGCTCCCAAAAGCTTCAGTAAGTTAAAAAGGAGGGAAAATTAAAGTTAGAAAACAGACTACAAAACTATGTAGATTATCCATAAACATTTTGTGGGTATTCATACCATAAAAATGATTCATTATGGGATTTTCTACATTATGACTACATAACTAAAAAAAAACAAAACAAAAAAAAAAACAAAACCCAAAACAAGCAAAGACTTCTGTTTCCAATATGAAAGCAATTCTGCTTTCATGCTCTCCAATGCACTCAAGTCCTTTGAGAAATGCAAAAATGGATGAGTACAGATGCCATGTCAATAAAAAGTAAGAGGAAGCTCATGACACACAAAACCTTCAGATTTAGTAGTTTTTTAGCACAGAAACTATAGTGGCTTGAGTCTAGAACTTTCCCGAGATGTAAGAAAGCAATAAACAGTGTATAACCTCTAGCTTTCCCTTCTCATGGAATTGCCCTTCCTCCCTAACAAACAGCTCCACATCTCTGAAGTTCTCAATATATACTTGCTTCACTCAGTTCTAGCTGTCATGAAAAGCCAATTATTATGCTGTATACAGTTGGGGTTTTTTTCCAGATTTCAGATACATTTATTTAGCAGGGGAAAAAAGTTCTTTTTCAGTAAGATGCTTCCTGCAGTGTTTACTAACAATCTGCAGCCTGATGTAAAATGAGAGAGAACAAAAGCCCAAAACAGTGATGATGAACAGTAGAGAACAGCAACAATGGAGTTTCTCTGTAGTAAGTAACAGCTGTGATGATTACTGGCACCTTGTATCAAAGTTGTACCTTTTCTTGAAGTAACTTGGAGGAAGCTGCATCACGATTTCCTTTTCCACCAGCAGTACTAAAATGAGACCATGGTAAAACGGCATTAAATGTTAAGGAATCTTCCAAGGCAAAATCTGGTTTCATAAAAATCTGAAATAGAAAAACAGAACATAAAAATGCATCTCTCTCACTCCTACATTTTCCTCTGCAGTAAAACACACCTCCTGTCTCACGAAGCTAAGAGGAACTTTATTTGTTGGTTTTCAAAAACCAAATTTTTATTTACCAGGCAAACAAATTCATTCCAGACCTTATAAGTGATTTACATCTTAAAAGCTTCTGTGATCTGACAAAGTCTCGTTTTCCTAAATGTGGAAGCCACAGCTTCAAAATTTCATAGGTTATCAAGCACCCAAGATGATCTAAACATCCTAAGTGTGAAAACACAGGCAACATTAAGCTGCAGGTAGGGCCTCAGCAAAAATTCTTCAATAGCAGGGGCATCCTGCTGCTGATCTGCTTATTTCTAGGGCTATGGCTTCTATCAGACTGACGATCCAGCCAGCTGTCAGGGCACATCAAGTGTTGCCTGGGAGGGAACAGAGCCTCAGCCTGATCTCCTTTAGCACAGTGCAGCAAACTTGCTGGTCACAGAATAAGTAACACGTAACATTAACTCTGCACATCTCAGAGAACTATTAATCTAAAATTCTCTCTGATAACATTATTTTTACTTGACAGAACTGGTACAAACCTTGAGCTTTCAGACAGTCAGCAGTACCCTTTTCCCTGTATTTATGAAGTGTAATTTTAAAAGGTTCGACATAAAACTATAGCATCACACCACACTCAAACATTCTTGTTTTCTGGACATTAAACATTGCAGTGACAGCTAGGCAAGTAACAGCCTACACAACTGGCACAGAGATGCTGACCCATATTAACATTCTAACTTCTTAACGTAACTAGAAAAAATTATTCAGACTGCAATGGAACTTGGTGTTGTGTCTTTTGTCAAACTGTCTCAAAAAACCCCACATCATATACGCTGCAAGCATATATGCAAGAGGGCTATGCTCAAGGATTCAAGGAGTTAAACCTAATTCTAAGTTGCACACTATGCAATATTCAAGCTTCTATCAAACTCATCAGTTTCCTTTTCCTCCTAGAACACAGAGCAGTTAATTTTGCCCAGCTCTGAGGTTTTAACTATTAAAGATTAAAGAATTAACAGCATTTGTATTCTACTTAAGTAAGAGAAAAATCAAGACCACAGGAAACAACAAGAAAAAGAAAGAAAAAGCGGATTGTTCTTAGTAGTTGTAAATTCTGATCACTGCAGATCCTCTTGAGAACGAGCTCAAGTAATCAACTTGGACAACACTTCTACAAAGAGAGTACATTCATATATTGAAGACTACATATGAGAAACCTTTATAAAAGCTTAAAGTACATGGGAACCATACCTTAGGTACTTGTTCTAGATCCGTCCTGGATTTATCTAAAATTAAACAAAACACAAGTAGTCATTTATGAGCAAACAACTGAAAACAATTACCTTGAACACTATGAAACCTGATGAGGAAGCAAGAGGCCCAGGTTCCTCACAGAGGAGGGCAGACAGGGAATGGTGAATATAAATTAAAATGAAAGGTCCTGACTTCACCATGAGAGCAATCAAGCACTGGGGCAGGCTGCCCAGAGAGGCTAGATACTCTCCAACTCTGAAGGTTTTCAAGGCCTATCTGGATGAAGCCCTAAGCAGCTTGGTCTGACCTTGCAGCTGAACTGGCTTTGAGATGGCAGTTGCAGTAAAGACCTTCTGAAGTCCCTTCAACCTGAAATACTCCAATTCTTTGAAACACTCTATTGTCCTTCGTAGTTTAGGTCTCACGAACAGAGTATACAAAGGTGCTTGCATTCGGCTGCTTTGATAGCAAAAATGTAAGTGACACAAAGCAATCTACTCAGCACTTCACATTCCATAATGCACTGCTCAATCAACTGGCAAGGGCCAGTAAAAGATCTCTCTAACATCACCCCAATTTTAATGCTCCAGACTGAAGCTGCCCATAAAATCACTTCTGCACAAAGGACGGGTGCATAAAGGCTGGCAAGAAGAAAAAGTAAGGACTCAGGACAGAGTCCTGAGCACACTGAGCAAGCGGCACAGAAGTAGTCCTTCTCTTGAAGTAAGCTGACCTGACAATTGCAGAGGGTAAAAGAGTTGAGCTGGGAAGTGTATTGTTGTACCCTAGCAAAACTTGAAGAAAAGGCAAATTCAGACTTCTGAGGTTCAGCCAAAATCCCCCTTTCTTCCCCTACTCATTAACTTAGCATGCATCATAAAGAAGGGGCACACTAGAGGAAAAAAAAGGTGAGGAATTTAAAAACAAGCAGCCTATACCTCAGTTAGACAGTCTGATCATCCCTGAAAAACGTGGTAAATGCCACATCAGCATTATCTCCCATGTTCCTCTCATCTCTTTGTTTCTTACTTTGTTTGTTTGTTACTTACTGAAACACAAAAGGCAAACTAGGAATCATCCTGCTGACCTCATTCTTTGGATAGATCAACTTTTATAAGCCTTGTGGGCTGGAGTTAGAGGAAGAGAGGCAATGATAACTAAAGGAACTATACAAAACACAGAGTTTCAGTTTATCAAATGATGCTTCTACTAGGAACTGTCCATCTACCAATTTCTCTGGTGACAGAGTAATTCCCTCTGTTTAAAAACAAAAGCCTCTTTCGAAATGGATTAAGCTAAGCCTGAAGAAACTACTTTAGTTTTGCAGAATGTGCTACAGACAGATTCACTCAGGACAGCTATTCCAAAACAACACTAAGTACAGAGAAGCCCTACCAAAGGGCTTCCTTTTGCATGGAAAAGGAGGAAGAAAGCCAATTGAAAGAACTTGATCAGAAGGAGTAAACTATTGAATTTTTCTTGCTTTAGACATCGATACAGACCAGCCTGATCAACCAGTAAATAGCAAATGAACCCGTTTATGCTAACACTTTTAAGAAAATACATTAAAATAAATTAAAATTTGAAGTTTGCTCCAGGCTATGAGTGTTTGTTTTCCTTTCGATTTTCTTTTTCAATTTGCCTCTCACCTTCCTTTATCCAGTTTCATATTAGCTGAACTACTTCCATAAAATCTTGAAACTCAGCCTTGTTACAGCTGTGGACACCAAAAGAAGTTTGCTAGGAAGTCTTTGCTAACAGTAATCAGAGAAATACTAACCAGAGAACTGGCCAGAGTGGAACTTCATGAAGTTCAACACAGGAAAAGGCAAAGTCTTGCACCTGGAGAAAAATAACTCCAAGCACCAGTTCACACTAGGAGTCTAGTGTCTGGAAAGCATCCCTGCAGAGTAAGACATGGGGACCTGGCAGAAAACAACCTGACCATAAGCCCGCAGTGCACTCTTGCAGCAAAGCATCCTGGGTTGCATTAGGCAGAGAATTGCCAGGAGGCTGAGGGAAGGTGATCCTCCCTCTCCATTCAGCACTGGTGAGACATCTGGAGCAGTATGCCCAGGTCTGATTCCCCCAGATCAAGACAGATCTAGACATACTGGAGCAAGTCCAATGAAAGGTCACAAAAGGTTATTAAAAGCCCAGAGCACTGTTCATAGGAGGTAACGCTGAGAGAACTGAGACTGTTTAGCCTGGAAAGGCTCAGGAGGGATCTTACCAATGGTTTTAAGTATCTGAGGAGAGAGGGCGTAAAGAAGACGGAGCAGGCTCTTCTCAGTGGTGCTCAGTGAAAGGACAAGAGGCAACAGGTAGAAACTGATAAATGAAAAATTCTATCTGAATATAAGGAAACACTTTTACTTTGAGGGTGGTCAAACACTGAAAAAGGTTTGCCAGAGAGGTTATGTAATCTCCATCTGTGGATAAATTCAAAACCCAACTGGACACTGTCCTCCCACAGGATACTCTGCTTGAGGTAGGTTGAACCAGACCATCTTGAGACACCATTTCCCACCTTAGCCATCCTGTGATCCTCCTGTCAGGTAAGACAGGAATAGCCCAGCACTGTCATTCTTCACTGCAAAGTCAACAGCTGCTAATTTGATGCAACAGAAATTTGATGCAACAGTTTCAACAGATCTTAAATAAAAGGAAGTTAAAGAAGACACTGCCAGGGACATAATGACCTGCCACAAATGCAAACGTGTCAAGGAAAAGTTTAAGAGCATATATCACAAGCATTTTGGCCTATAAAATATCAGCAGAGGTCATGAATACTTGCAGTCTACCATGTCTGGGTTTTCAATTATTGTTCACCAGCAGCTACTTTTGCACATGAAGCCCTTGAGCAAGTAAACGAGATGGTCAGTATGTTACAGTAGTCATTAGAAATTACTTTTTAACAACTAAAGGAAGGCTTTGACTGTACCGTGGGTGTGCAATAGAGTCCTGTCGAAGGAATCTTTAGAAGTACAAACATTCTTGCTTCTTTCATGAACCCTCTCTCTCTGTAAAAGAAAAAACATATTGAAGAATTACTTTGAGGCTTTAAAGGAACTATTTTATTTAAAATAGAACATTCAGAACATTTTCAGTTAAAGATAACTGCATTACGCCAAATAATTCTGACAAGTTAACAATAATCTTTTTCCCCTCTTAAAAGCTCCAATGATGTTCATGCAGGTGAAAGGCAACACAGGTGAAACTTTCGGTCCTTATGTTGTTTTTGCAGTATTTTTACTTCTCAAGAGAAAATTAACACAAGTTATTGAAGAGGTATAATAACCTCTCTACATAATTAGATATAAACATAGAGCAGTTGTAATTACAAAGTCAAACATTTATTTGCTGTCTAATCCAGAAATCACATTAACACACAACAAATGGTTTTTCACTGCTAAATTAAATTGGATCAAAGTAGAAATTGCTTCCACATCTTAACCAATGAGCAACTTGCTGAAATCACATATCTTGTTTCATCATGCTGAGCTTCAAATTTCATCCACAGCTGTAAACACCACCAGAAACCATAATGCCTTAGAAACCATTACAATTCTAAAGAACACTAATGTTAGCTAGATCACTGATAGAAGCTATGTCATAGGTCACTTCTGTCTTCCTAAAACCTTATTTCATTTTGCAGTCACTGCATTACACGCTAACAGATGAGATCCTAAGTGCTTTAAATGTTCAATGTGTGAACTAATTACAATAGTTCAGTTACAGACAATTCCCTTGCACATACTTTAACTACGATTTACATGAGCAACACTTCCTGCAGCTAATTCTGTAACAGCAAAAAAAAAATAAAGTTACAAACCAAGGAAGCAGAAAACAGTGGGAGACTTCTACATGTCCTTTCAGTTAAAAAAAGAAATACTACATACTTACTGACAACCTGTATTTTAAGAGTTTAGAAGTCTCCTACTGGTCCTGGTGTCCTTAGATGTAGCTTAAACTTTCCTGTTACAAAAGAAATCATTGAGATAATAGGCCTATTTATAGTTTAAGAACTTCACATATAAATGGTTACATTAGAGACTATTAAAAAATATCTCCAAGCCTTGCACCACATAGTCATGTTTTATATTTGATGCAAAGGTATACAAATGCTATGTTGCACAGTAGAGTCCAATTGTAAAAACAGAAAAGGGATTAATAATCAGAAAGAATAAATAAGAACTGTAAGTCCTGGCACAGAGCACAGTATTCAGAAATACAAATGAAAACAAATAAGAAATTGCCAGTAGACAGCATTTTCCACACTATGAATACTAAGATTTATAAGCCAAAAAATGCCTAATGAAAAGCCAGCACGCACTGAAGAGCAAATTAATTATCAGCTAACTGTATGATGGACAATCATACAACTGTAGGGACAATCTCTAATTAGAAGGAGGTTCTGAAATCTCTTTCTAATCGCTAGTACCACGTGCATCTAATTTTGGGTTCTTACCGGAGTGATTTCCTGTTGGTATAATGCAAAATGTTCCTTGGTGATCTGTGGGAGGTAGAATGAAGGCGTGACTTCAGTGTCCACAAAGTCCACTCCCCATGTTTTTGTAAAGAAATCAGATTCCCTTTTTGCTAACCTAGGATCATTTAGTGCTGCTGGGAGATTGACTTTGGAATGATAGATAGTCCATCTGTGCTGATCCACAACTAGAGACGGGCTGTCACATAAATTATTAGGATCGCCTGCAACACAAAAGACAAGACAATCTGTTAAAGTGAGAAACCAAAAGTTGTATTTTTGGTAAAATATGGTTCTTAGTAAAACTCTTGTGTTTTCACAATCACACACTGGATCAGAATTATCTATGCAAAAGACACATGATATTCTCCTTCTGCAACACTTTAACTTGCATTTCTTCTACCAGATTAACCAACACAAGTTTTGAACACAATGGTGTATTCACACTCATTAAACATATTTAGCTCAACATTAGCTTCTACTGAAGAGAAAAAAATCCTAACCACAAACATATTTTAATAATCTGAACTCAATCAGAATGACAGTTGACATTCATTACCATTGTATTTCATAATTCTTAAGAACCCACCCCACTTACTGCTTTTTATAAACTAAGCTTTAGTATACCACAGCAACTATAACTGTGACTAAAACCTGGTTTTACCATAGCACTAGACACTGATGACAGTGCCAGAGACAGGTCCTGGTCTCTTGCTTCCCACTGTTAAGAGGGCTGGGGTGTTTCACAGAAGCCATTTCACAGACTCCAGGTACACTGGACAAGCTCTGACAGAATACACCCTTTTCTTGCGTGTCATCAGAATCATAGCTTATCATGTGAACCACACAAGGAAGAACCTATCTATAACGTGGACTTCTGAAAACAAGCTGCAAATAGGAAGGCTCTCCCATTGCTCCAAAGGGACAATGGGTGGTATAAAGCAGAATTACAGCATACTTTGAAATAAGACTACAGCTTAGTACACTATACCCAGTACACAAGAAAATTTGACTGAACAATCATAAACAGATTAGCAAATATAACTGCATTTTCACTCTCCTTGCACACCAACATTACCTGTAGGTTCCTTGGGACACACATCAGGCAGTGACTGCACAGGTCGAAAGCGTTTCGTGGCATCCATTTCCTTTTTAAAGAAAGCATCACTGCTGTTTGACTGAGGCACTGGTGAAGAACTGTGGCTTGATGCCATTGCATAAAATCACCACTTACTAGAAGCTAAATAAGAAACAATAAATATCAAGACTTTAATAAAGTTCTGGTTACAGACTGTATCACAACAATGACACTTCATCACCTACATAGTACTTTTCTTAACTGCAGCACTTTAACTGACACATTTCTACAGTAACAGGCAAAAGTTTATTTTAAAGGCAAAAATAAAAGGCAGAATGTAACTCCATAGGCTGCTTCCTCCCACACCTCCAGGTTTGGAGGATAGCTTGTTCTTGCATATAGCACCAATAAAAATAGTATGTTTAAAAAAAAAAAAAGTCTGTCAGACACTTTTTCTTTTCTATTGCAGCCATAGCACACATTCACAGCAGAAGTTCCTCACAAATATCAAGAAGCTTAGGTAGACAAGTGTAGAGCTTTCCACCTTCTTTGCCCTCCTACACAGTATTTTCAGTGACTGTAGGGAGCAGACCACCTTTTGCATCTGGTCCCCACAGTGCTAAAAGCCGTCCTGGGAGCTGCACTCCACAACAACCACAACAGCCAGGCAGGGTAAGAAGAGAAAGACAAATTATCTCAGCTCTCAAAGAAATGCTTCGTAGACGAGCAACCAGTGGCAGTAACACAACCCTCAGAAAAACTACTCCATCTCCATGATGAGTTAAGGCCTCAAGCCTGAAAACTGGTGCATAACCACTGTCAAGGGAGCTCACAAAAGTTGCCCATGTGCCCACCTCCAAGAGGCTTCCTGCAGCTGCTCCACTCGAGAGACAGGCAGAGTATCCTGCGAGATGTCTGCAAAGGGACACCATGCTCAGGCTTAACCACAGTGCATTACATGCTGCAGTGAAAAAGGTAACGGGTGCAGGTGGGATACTCTGTGCACTCATTTTGTTGTGCTGCCTCAATGTTAGAATCCCAGCAAGAGCAAGTGTGCTGTTTTTCTTCCAAAGGAGGAGGTCTGCAACCTACACTTGTGATTCAGACAAGCCCAGCAACAGCTACCCACAGATACAATATATCATTAATGATTTATAGTAATCGAAATCATCTGAAGAATACGAGCATACCAGAAAAGCACGAGCACATACTATGCAAAGAACATAGACATCTTTTGACTTGAATCAGGAAAACTGACAATTCAACTTTTCATGGCTGCCTGGCAGTTTATTTCAGCATAAAAAGCATTTGCAGAGAGCAGACAATTAAAATACAGATCAAAAAGCTAGGGAGTAAGGAAAGTCCCGCTAATTTTCAGTTTCATTTTAAGCTCCCAATCTGAAAATAAACAGCCTTAAAAATTTTACACCAGGGCTAAACAACATAATGAATTCTTCCCATCTGTAAACAAAGCTGCATTTCCATCAAACTATCAGTTGAGTCAGTAGTAAACTGCAGAACCATTAGACGTTTGAGTTTATTAGAATATCCTCATAATGTACAGCTCAAAGAGTGCCCATTCAAAGGGACTGATCCAAATCCTCACCTTTAAGGAGAAATAAACACATCTAGCAAGATCTCAGGGTTTAACTACCAACCCTTAAGGGACACTTGAATTACTTGCTACCCTGTGAAGGAGCACAAAGATAAAAGGCCTATTTCATCTTCAATAGCTGAGGTAGGCACCAAGGGATGACCGTATACATACCGTATACAGCAAGTTTCACTTGGAAAAGAAAAAAAAAAGTTCTACTATCTAAACAAGGTTGTGAGTGCCCTATAAAACCATTCTAAAGACAAGCTAAGATATGTACAGCTATAATAGAGCACCCCAGTGAACGGGCCCGTAATGACTAACACACACATATTCTGGCCAAAACTCTGTCATACTATTCGAGATAGAGGATTGGTGCACTAATGGAGAACTGAAAGTAACCAGAAAAGGCAAAAAGCTTCCCAGATATCTGACAGACGTTCTTTAAATATCATCAAACATCATCTCTCTCCCCAAATCACCTCAAAGAAAATTTTTTCAATACTACTTCTGTTACACGTTCATATGCTGACGCTCCTACCTTGACATTTCCAAAGCAACTTCTTTCTTTATGCTCTTCCATAATGTTCTGAGGTGTTTTTATGAAAAATCTAGTTCACGCTAATGACAGAACTCTATCATTTTAGCATTCTTAAAAAACATATTCAGCACGAAGTTATAATGATCAAGTCTCCTAAACGCATATAGTAAATTTATCTGCACTTGGAACTGCTTCAAAGTTCAGTATTCGCAGTTTTCTCCTGAAAAAGCCTCTGTAATATGACACTCAGTTTGCTCTAGACAGATGTACGAGCAACCAAGACAATTTGTAGAAAGCACTGAATTTTGTACTCTTGCTAGCAAGTCTTTCATTAAACTTCTTCCTTTCTCCATATTGAGGTATTGCCTAAATGTATACTTTAAGATGTGAATTCTCTCAACTACATAAACCTCTGTGGAGAAAATGCTAACTGCATTATGTCAGTGTAAGATTTGAAATAAATTTAAAAGACAATTTAACACTAAAGACTGGTTCAATATATCAACTTTTCAAAAACAAACTACTCTTGTGCAGGTATTTTTATTACTTACCACCATAAAATATTCATATTGCCTTTGTACACTGCCAAATCTTAAAACTGAATGAAAAGAGTACAATAAAATATCAATGTGAGCGGCAACCTTCATACTATTGAGTGGATTTCAACAAGATACAAGGATTCACAGGCAGAGGCCTTCTTAAGTGGTGTGCAATATGACTCTGTACTAAATTATTCATAGTTAAATGCTATTCTAGTAGCCTCATAAGTCAGGACCTTATGGATAATTAACCTCAGTGAACAGTCACATTTGCACAGGAATAAAATCATCTATATTTCCCAAAACCAGGCATTCCTTAAACCGTAGTCCTTAAATTATACAAGTAAGCATAGCTTCAGGGAGAGAAAGAAAACTGGACAAAACTACCTGAATTAAAAATTAAAATTACAAAGGATAATGTGACAGGTCCATATGAGGACAAAAATCCTGCCCTATACCTGAGCCCTGCTGTGTCTGCGAACCTTGCAGACAACAGAAGTCGTTTCATTCGCTCACCAACAGAACAGCTGTTCCTCGTGCTATGCTACTGAACATTTTATAGAGAAACTAATCCATAACCAACCTTCTGAATCAGCATTTTCAAATACTCAACAATATATACATTTGCTGATTTAAACATACACTACCAAAAAATGAAATTCAACATAGAACAAAACTGCTGCAGAATATTTAAACTCATTCAACTTTAAAACTATGTGAAATGCAGGTAAATGCAGTCAACTGCACAAGCTGTGCAGAATGAATTACAAAATGAATTATGAAATGGTGAGCCTCCTGAGCCTCCTACTTAGAAGACCATATGTGCAGCAATAAGAAAAAGCAACTGTGTAACTTCATGACATCAATATTTAAATTACATATAATTAAAACTGGGTTAGATTAACCCTGTTTTCTCCAGTAATCACCATAATTTACTCACATTTCGTCTAGCAATGTGCCTTTTAGTGGTTAGATACAAGAGTAATGATGGAAATAGTTACAGGCTTATGGCTGTATTTGCAACATGCCTTCAATATATTACATCTATTTTGAACACACCATATTAATCTCCTTAGTACAAAAAATGACATGAAATCACACTGTCACTGCAATGAATTCATATCACTGAAGTTAAACAATAATTTGAAAAAAAAAAAAATCAACCATCGCAACAATGAAAAAAGCTTTGATAATTTGAATTTACGGTATTCTTACAGTCTGAACACATGAAGATTAATATTTTGTATTCAACAATCTTACAGCTTCCTTTAAAAAAATAAAACCTTAATAACATGCTCAGCAACTACGACATGCACAGTGTTATGCCATACAGCATGGGATAAAATGACTGTGATGACAAACATAATAACCACATGCCTGGATACTGTGCAGTCAGCAAAGCAGATGTGTGCAGTAAGTGATTTATTGATCACATGGATTTTCAGAAGTTACTCCTGTGATGACTATGCTCTGACTCTTCAGTTTCAGACCTGCAGTTTCAGCAGTTAGAAGAGCAACAAACAACAAGGCACGTTACTCAGAAGTAATTGCACGAGATGGTTACAGCTCTTGAGCATGTGCTTGCTTTTGTAAGTATTAAGACTCATACAGAGATCTTCAGGAACTGCCTTTCCATATTCTGAGTGTTATTTGCACACTTTGTTTTTCAGATGGCAAGTCTTTGCCATCAAAACATCCAGTACTATCTCTGTATAAACATGATATTAGAAAAGATGAAAAGTAAACCTTGCTTATTCATGAATATTAACTTCATATTTCCTCATTTTTGGGCAGTTTTCCGTTAGCGTTGTCCATCAATTTTCTATTTCCCAACAGCTTTCCGCGAGTTAATCAGTTTTACTGCGAATTTTCATGTCCGCGCACTTTGGTTTGTAAAGCTGTAATTTCTATTAACAATACAAACTAGAATTTATGAAGCCAGCACAATCCCTGCAAGTAAGTTTCAGTTTGTGCACTACAGAAACCCATATTTGTCCTTTCTCTGCACTCTCCCTCCCAAATGAAAATAAATCTACAACCTACTAGTAATATCAAACCTACCAATTTAAGCCAAAGGTACTACAAGGGGCACACAGGAACATGAAGCATTAGCACCAGTCTTTCATACAATTCATAGAGTCTGCTCTCCAACCTCATTTTTGGCTTCAAAAACAATGACATCTGAGAAGAGACAAACACTGAGCGCCCAGAGGAAAGAGCCCGAGGCTTCCACCTGATGACACAAGACTGAGCAAGTTCTCCTTTAAGCATTCCACAGTGAGCCACACTTGGACACCACAGGGTGCTTTTCAAGAGGTACACACTGCATCCCAAAGGTAAGGGGAGGAGAAGCTTCTCTGTAAACACAAGCAGCATGCTGAAATCCCTGCTTCTTTAATGGCTCTGTCTGGCAGCAACAGAGTGAAAAAAAAAATTTAAAGCACTGTTCTGGTTACCCAAGACCCTTTGGAATAGAAAACCATCAGAAACTACCCATAGGTCACACTAAAGCAAAATATCTCACCATTTCTAGAAGTGGTAAAGAAGAGAGATACTTACTAAGCAAAAGGATACCTGAAAGATAACTAAAAGAGAAAAATGCATACAGGATTTCTTCCAGGACCTCAACAGCCAACAATAGCCTGTTACTGGTCTAACATATTTACTCTGTCCACAAAAGCTTAGGTTTCCTGCTCTATTATTACACAGCTCTTTTTGCTACATCAGCAGGATTGAACCCTGTACCAAGGAAACTGCGGTATGAACAAAGTACACATCACCTTTGTAAGACAGTGTGAACCAGCCTCGACTAACACAACCTTTCAATTTCCTTCAGCCAGCTAATTCCTTGGGCTGAAATTTCCCCACTTGCCTCTGTACCCCAAGGCAGACACCTCTCTTTTGGCAGGGGAACCAAGAAGGTTACCTTTCAGTAGAAATGTTCAAGCAGTTTCTGAGAATGACGTTAAGGCTGCAGAAGCTGTTCTGCTAACTCAAGCTCTTTCTGAACACTTATTTCCACCCTGAGGTTTTAGAGTAGGAAGCAGATGATTGTCAAGGGAAAGATGAGGCTAGAGTCAGAGGACAGCTGACACTTGTCCCCATGGCAAGCCATCTACATTTGGTGCACACTCCAACACCAAACCTCCTTACACAATTTGGAGAGAAGCCTGTGCCAGCCTGGCCTTTCTGAAAGCCTAATAAATACATGTATATTTGTATTCATGCACACACACGTATTACAGTGCATACTGCACATCTTTTAATAGTGTCCCAAATCTCATGTTCCCACGCTGAGGGTATACCTCCTTTGCAAAGTTAGAATGAGTGATGACCATCCAGATAATCCTTGCTGTGTCGAAAGCAGCCTGATAAGGAAGCTATATATGAGTTATCTGCATTTCTCATCATCCCTGCTTAGATATTCTGTAATTCCATGGATGGTGCTAAGCTAAGCCAGATTGTGGTAGTTTCTCAAACTGCATAATGGGGACTGTGGAAAAACAAGAGCACTTGAATAGCTTAAAGAGTAATGCCAGCACCCTCCCCTTACATCCTATCTTTCATAACGCCACCTGAAAATGCCCTCCTCACACGGGGAAACAGGCAAAGAAAAAAGTAACCCAACTAAAGAAAAAACAGCTCCATCCCCACTGCAAAGCACTGTGGGTCAACTACAAGGCCAGGGTAAAACATCATCTGATTTTAATATTGTTATGTTTTGTACCACTTTCTTCTGCTCTCCCCAGCTGAAGATACCTGAACAGTAGATTTAAAACAATAAAAAAGTTGTGCTTCACTTCTTTAAATACAGAAGAAGACCCTTTGAAAAAATTACCCCAAAAAGCTCCATCACTGAATGACATAGTTATTTGAATGCACGTACGCACAAGTTATTTAGAACAATACACAGGAGTGAACATTTTCTCAAAAAATTAGAAAGCAATTTATCTCCCTATAGACAAACTATTTTAAAAGTAGTATTTCACTTTTATTCAGGTACTGAATAAAATAATTAAATGAAACATCTGTGATATACTCAATGTACCAAATGCACTTCCTCTCATCTGGAAACTTAACTTCCCAATGATGAACACTAATTTGACACGGGAAGGCAGCTTCTGTGCTGGAGGAACTGAACTTCCTACAGCTATTTAGGTCATTATGCTTCAAGTTCTTCCATGCCAGGGGTTGTAAAATCATTCAGAAACAATTAACAAAGCAGTAAAAATATACATCAGAAAAGAAAAGGCCTTGTGGTTGCCCACGCTATCGCACAAGAGGAGAGTGAAATCTCTTTGTATTCTACTTTTTTTCAGGCATCAGCATTACAGTGTGCATTATCCCCTTGGAAAATGGTGATATATGAGCACCTCACATAGCTCCATAAACATACATGCAGCTGAACAAAGATCAAAGAACCCCAGCAGGCACTCCAGCTAGAAGTCTGTCAGAGGCACAGACCGTGGAGCAGTGAAATGTAGAGGAAGGCAGAAGAACTGCACCAGACAGAGTAAAAATGGTAATGCTAAGGTCCTGACTTTGTGAAAGCAGTTTGACAGAAGCTGACAGCAATTTGCATCAACAGCACGTTTCCCTGTGCAGGCTCTCCACTTTCAATCTTCAGTGGGGTTAGGCCACCCATGCTTGTTGATAGTTCTCATAGTGTTAATACCTGCACAACAGGAGATCAAGTGAAACGGATCACCTCCATTCACATCACTTCCTTTTTGCCCCTCAAATAGCTTCCATTAACAAGAAAAAATATTTCTATAAACTTGAAAAACAGTATGGCTACGCTGCATTGAGAATGCCAAAAAAATAAAAGGAAGGTCTTACACCGCTGCTTACAGCAAGTGTGTAAAACTGATGGGAATTCTCAGCCATACTGCAAAGCACCAGATATGCCACTCCAACTCTAATAACCTATCTGAAACACACACTCTCCCATGGCTCCTTTTTTTAAGAACCAGACTAACAGTTGAAATATCCCAGCTTTTTTCTCTGTTCAAAGATGAGTATTTTGGAACATCTTATCTTTAAATGGATCCACCATTTTTGAGTACGAGGGAAATACATTAAGGATTCTTCACCTTTTGAAAAGAATACTCAGGTCTTTTTTTGAAACCTAGGTGAGGTGGGTTCAAAAAGTTAAAAATCTGAGGAGAACAAACCTTAGATGTGCTGGTAAACATTTCTTTGGACTTAAACATATGAAGCCTCAGAAATACATATGTAGAACATTCATTCACAGTCCTCCTTTCTCTCTTTATGCTATATCCATAAAACATAATGAGGAATAAACAAAATAAAGTATAAAAAATAAGAAAAAAGAAACAGAAACAGAAACCAAAAGAAAACTGAGCCTCCCAACTCAAAGGATAAGATGTTCGTGGCCTTTCACTCTTCTTGAGAAACTCGCTCCTAATTTCCCCAAAAGTCTGAAGCAGGAAAGCAGAAGTGGCTTCTACACAGAGCTGCTGCCCTGAAAGAAGAAACGATGATTCCATTTCCCAACTTCTTCCCACTCAAACTGCCAAACAGCAAGTCTGCAGTCTGCTTTCTCTACTCTCTCTTGTGGCTCTTGACACTTCTCAGGCAGACAACATCCCCGTTCAACCCTGGAAATATATGTCCCCTTCTCCTCTCATGAATTTCATGCTGGAAACAGGAAGGCAAAATTCTTTCACACGTGCACCAGATTCCTGCTACAGAGAAAGACAGTACTGAAGACACAGGGACACCCAGGACAGATCTTGCTACTGGCAAATGGGATGGGAGAGGGAGAGCTGCTTCTCAGCGCGCCTTTAGACCTCACTAGTGAGGCTGCCCACATGATACACAGCAGCTTTTACTTAACCATAGATCTCCTGTCAATTAGTTCATTTTAGGCATTGTGTTCCCATTCAACAGAAGCACTACCCTATGCTCGGAGGATTTCAAGGGAACTATAGCTTTCATCTGTACTACAGTTTGGGACAGAGTCACACTGGCTCTCAAGCTAAAGAGGCAAATACTACAAGCACTACAACAATTAACACACTCCAGCCATGTTTTTCAATAAGAGCATTTTTTCACAGGGCCACAGCTGCACAGAGATCCATAGAACTACTTCTTGCTTAGCAGATAGGGTAGAGATAAGACAGTAAAGTCAGTACAACACCTGTACTTTAAAACTCTTAAAAACATACATGTAAATCTGTAATCAAGTAATTATAATTTAAAATAGCTACTTTACACAATTGGCATCACTCAATGCTTTGTAACAGAAATCCCAAGTACTTAGAAAATTTAAGGAAAAAAAAATAGAAGGAAAGGAGAATTAAAAAAATACTAAGGCCAAAGGTGGACAGTTAAAGAGAGAGAAAGCTAATTTTTTGTTGAGAGTGCAGGAGATCAGTATTTTACAAACACATATGGGTATTTCTCTCAACAGGACATACTGAGTTTGAAAAGTTACAGTAAAGAAAGGTAAGGAACAATATTTGTCTAGGTACATAATTTCACAATCATCTATAAACTAGAAACCATTGCAATCCTAAACAGTTTTCAGAACCAACAAATTCTCTAGTTCTCCACATCTTGGTCCATCCTGGTTGCCATTAACATGGGCATCATGTGCCAGCACTACAGACAAAAAAAAACAGCCAACAAATACTCGTTCAAAATGTTACTTCTCCATGCCAGTGCTGACCGCTTATAAAAACCTTGCCTGACAAGCACGGTATCATAACGCGAGGAGCCAGCTGTACCTTAGTGAGAACACGACATGAGTATCTCAGGGAGGCCGTCGTCATATCTCTCCTCCTTGCATTGTACGGAAAACCGCCCAGTCTAGGACCTCGGGGACCTGCAGGAGACAGCCCACATAAGCAAGGGCCGCGACAGCCACACTGAGGGCAGCCCAGGAAAGCCTGTCTCCACACTGACACTTCCACACACCTCACGGCTGCCGGCCAGGGACAGGCACCGATTTCAGACACCACTCGTGTCCCACCGGGGGAGTTACCACGGAAATACAAAACGTAAATTTGCAGAAAAAGAGCAGAACTGGGGAGCACACCCGGCGCCTCGAAGCAGGCGCACCTTCCCCTCACACCCTCCTCTCCCCACACGGCCCTAGGCCACCCACCGCCCCACGCCACCGCGAAGGGCCC